ATCGGATTCAATATAATGGAGTATTGAGTCCAGATTTGAAGTGTGTGTTGGAAAAAGTAGCAGTCGCGTCATTCGAAGGAAAAATAAAACTTTTCATCCGGACTGCCTAAAGAGAAAAGTCAAATTTCCTGCATCTGTCATGATCTGGGGCAGCATGTCGTCTAAAGGTGTGAGAAAGTTACATTTTATCGATGGGATTGTAAACATGGACAAATATTTGAATATTTTAGAAGAATCTGTTTTACCAATTAGGGAACACCGTTTAACATCGGCGGAAGATTTTGTCTTCTAACAGGAGGGCGCAGGTTGTCATACCTCAAAAAGAGTTTAAAACGGATTGAAGACTATGACATACCACTTCTGTAATGGGTTTCTAACAGTCCCGACCGGTCCCATACAGAGACTTTGTGGCGCAAAATGAAAAATTTTTTGAGAACACATCCTACCAGGTCCGTCAACGAATTGAAGAAAAAATTGCAAGAAATATGGGATTTGTTTGCATTCAAATTTTGTTAGAACTTGGTGAAAACTATGCATCGAAGAATTGTGGATGTCATTAAAAATAAAGGGGATGTAACTCAGTGGTAAACCTTTAGATTTTTTTTTAATAATATTACAAATTCCATGCATTTTTTTAAATTTATTATTATTCTGTTTAGTCAATACTTTTAATGATGGCATACAATATTTTGTATATTAGGAAATTCAAAAATGTTGTTCAATGCATTAAAACATCTAAAATTTACGCTGCGCTTTTATATTTGTTCTCTAAAATTTAATTTTCTTATGAATCTAACGTTGGGTCAACTAATGGAAAGGGACTCTTATGCTGATGTTGGTTCTTCACATAAAAGGCTTACTATAATATTGAATTCTAAGCAATCCTATTTTGACAAAAATTTTATCAGTCTCTCCTACACCTTTCCGAAAGCTAGTTGTTACTCAATTATGTTCTGATAATTTTCTTTCTAAAAAGGTGGTAACATATTGTTAGCCAATTAATTATCCATTACTTGGCTTACAATACACATTATCTAACGGAGTAATATTTTAGCGCTTTAGTAAAGCATTAGAACGAAACAGATCAGGTCATTTCGCTTTATCTATCACGTAATCAGGTGTAGATTATGTCGATTACAGCGTAGAGGTTTGTCCATTGTGTATGAAATGGAACTAGTTGACCGTACAAAACAGACTAATTAAGTGTAATGAATGAGGGTGTAACTAACGATGTCAAAACTAATTATCTTGCAGTCTGCTCGCAATTGCATTGAGTTTATTATTATCTGAAGAAGTAATTAAATGGAAGGCGTTATTTGTTTATTACAATTTTTTATTTTCAGCTAAGGTTTAATTATTATAAAAAAAATGTTCAAGTCAACAAGCTGGTAAAACTGCAATACTTACCTAATCAGATCAAATTATATTAATTCTAGTAGCAAGAATCAATATTGTCAATAAAATCGTCAGAGGCTTTAGCGTTAGCAATTTTATTTTTAAAATGAAATGTAGGAATTAGTTGAAAAGATACTGAGACGGTCCGACTACGAGAAAGAACCAAAATCGGAGAAAGATTGACACAGTTATGTAAAAAAGTAAACTAATAGTAAAGGACATATTTTAAAGACTACATCTAAGAGAAAGAGCCATATTGGCTAGTAATTAATTAAATTACTGTCAAATTAAAATGCCAATTGTGTAATTGTAGATACTAAATTCTAAAAAATGATACCTACAAAATGAACCTACAGTCAGGTTGTGATTGTAGATAATTTATCAATTTATTTATATCATTATTAAGATAATATATTTTTATAATTTATTATTATGCAGTTGCATTATGGAGGATCTTACATATTTATTTAGAAATTTCTTGGCGCTAGAGAGAGAATATTAGTACATATAATTTGTAAAAATTCTCCGGTACAATGCAAGTAACGCTACCTCTCACTCCTACAAAAAAAAATTTTAAGTCACTGAAAAAAAAGAACCAAAATGATCATTTCCCAGAATTTAGTGTCCACAATTTCGAAACTGCTATAGTAACATGCTTCCAAGCAAACATTGGCTCTAATCATAATCAACTTATAGGAGACTTGATGTTTAGAATAAATCTCTTAAGACCACCACATAACCAACCACGATTTAATATCGAAGCTTTTAAGGATACAGTCAAAAGTATGGAACTTAAAAGCGACTTTAAAATATAATATTTGAGTTCGGATAAAATGAAATAAACAATAATGATGACAGAAGTACTAAGCAAAATGTAAAAACAAATCTTAGCATACATAAGATTAGATTACTAAGATATCGGTAGTACAGATTACAGGAGAAGCAAAAAATCATCATTTGATTTAAGAATTAAGTAATATTGGAATTAGACCCATGGTTACATACGCATCATTCGTATGGTGGCCAAAAACACAACAAACAATAGCTAACGCCAAGCTGCAAAAAGTGCAGCGGCTAGCTTGTCTGGGAATCACAGGGACAATATCAACATATCCCACTGCAGCTCTAGAGGCGATGCTGAACAGTCCTCCCTTGTAGTTCTGCATAAAGAGGGTGGCAGTAACTACCAGCTTAAAACTGCGACAGACACAAATTATGAAACCTGGAGATCTAGTTGGCCACCTGAAAATCTTAGAAGAAATTCCATTAAATTATAAGGACATGCCGACAGATGCTATGCCATTCAAATTCGACTTTGAAACACCCTTTGAAGTGGTCATAAAAAACCACCAAATGGGTGAAGAAATTGAACCAAAAGTGGAAAAAGGTTTACTCACATGGTATACAGATGGATCTAAGATAGGTGAAACAACTATCTTTTAGGTAGAAATACATGTTATAGACATACGTGCCCAAGAATGTCTCAACCGAGACACCTGTAGGGCAAAAGTCTTTATTTTATCAGACAGGCAAGTCGCCTTAAAGGCTCTAAAGTCATGTACATGTGAGTCAAAGTTGGTTTGGGACTGTAAACAATCTCTCAAGAAGCTGGCGGAACGCAATAATGTAACTGTGATATGGGTGCCAGGACATAAGGGAATTGCACGAAATGAGGAAGCTGACAGCCTCGCAAAAGAAGGAGCTAATACCCCATTCCAGGGTCCGGAACCCTTCTGTGGACTATCGAAAAGCTACATCAGAGAGGAACTCCGTACCTGGAAACTCAATCAACTAAGATCATATTGGTCTTACACACCAGGAAAAAGTCAAGCAAAAAGGCTCATAAAAGTGTCGTCTACTGCAACAAACAACCTTCTCGAAATAAGTAAAAAAGATATCAAAATGGTCACTGGTCTTCTCACTGGTCACTGCCCTCTGAGATATCATCTCAAGAATATGGGCAAATCAGATAGTGAGAACTGTCGTTTCTGTCACAATGAAAAAGAAACGGCAGAACATATACTATGCAACTGCGTAGCACTGTTTTGCAAACGACTAAAATTTCTAGGAGAGGTCAGTCTGGCGTCCTCTGATATAGGAAACAAGTCACCTAGGAAGCTAATCAATTTCATCAGAAGTATTGGTATTCTAGAGTTTAACTAGATTAAGGTATGCACAAAAGATCTCTAACGGTCTAAGTGCGGTGAGACCGCATGGCCTTAACGACCTCACATAATATATTTATCTATCATTTCGCCATATCAGAGACATTTGATATGGCAGTCCAAATATATATGAATATTTTTCTCTTTCTATGGTTGTAACTCACATGGAAATAGAGTAACGCTAGTTTTCAAGTGTTCGAAAAATACATTTGTCTTTTCTTCATCAATGCGTGTCCAATGTCCGTTACTCATTTTGATAGGTAGTATAAATATGTTGTTGTGGTCGTAACAATTTTACTGGTAGCCTTCCAAAGGGTGTAATCTGTGGCTTCTAATGGCAATAAATCTCTCAGATATATTGCTTTTGCTGTTTTGTTAAATGCGGCTTAATTGGTCGGTGTTTGATTGTTTTACCATATCTTTCTAAGTTTGTTCTTTACTCTATTTTTTTGTAATGGTCTCGGGATTATTAAGAGCTCCTTGAAAGGTTTATTATTTATTGGTGGTTTGGATTCCGAGCACGCTTTTTTTATACATGTAGTAAGATGATCCACAGATCATTTTCTGTCTCTAGACATAAGTTTATGTTTAAGTGATTAGTAATGGTTTCTTTAAACAAAGTCTAATTGGTTTTTGATAAATAAAGCGTAGGAGGTCTAGATAAATTAATTATTTCAGAAGACTGGGAGAGAAATACTGGCGAATGATCGGATATTAAGTCGAAGCATGATTTAGTCGTTAGGTGATTATCTGCTATACCTTTGGTTATACAAAAATCAAGGAGATCTGGAAGTTTTCTTCTGTATATTGGCCAATATGTAGGTTAACCTGTAAAATACTTTTTGAGGTTATTAATATTAATTGATCCTAGCTTACGTGATTTAAAAAATTATTAATAGCGAATTATTCTTCTCTTTCATGGAGTATACTCAAATATAAAATTATTATTATCTTTTTAGTTGTAAGAGTTTATTATTATTCGTGTAAAAAAATATTTCTATATCTGGTTCTTTTATTTTACAAAACCAGCTAATTTACACTGTCAGAAAAATCCTCAAGTACAACAACTCACATTATTTCTTATATAGTGACAATTGCCGGCTAAAACCGATAATGATTGAAGACGATACCGGTGATATTACCGGTGAAATGTGGGAACAAAATAATTTTGTACATAAAAAAGCTATAGTTTTCACCCAAGCACAAAATTTGTAAATATTCAAAATTAAATAATTAATGTCTCTCTAAAATGAAATATCCACCCTATAAAAATGATACATATGTACTTTGTTACATTTATTCGCACACGAGGAATTTTTGAAATCCTACAAATAACAAAATTCAATTCTTCGCATTCTTTGCTACAATTTTTTACTTATAAATTCTCTTTGAAAATTGAAAATCCTATGTATCTTGTTCAATATGTATTTTTCTTTTCAGAGGAATGCACGGCGGACAGATGCAGTCACGTGCCGTGCCAACATGGCGGAAAATGTCTCACGAGCGACAACTCTGCGATATGTCTTTGTCCATTGGGGTTTTCAGGAGACTTGTGCGAGATCCGGGTTGATTTACAGGTAAATTGATTTATTCAAATGAGCCAGGCAGCAATACCGTGCTTCAAAATTATAAACAAGACAAAGTAGACTATGAATAGAGGAATGCCAATTTCGATGAGAACAAAAGCTACTGTATGTACTTAGAGTAAATCGATAAAATTTGTGAAAAGTAAAATATACTAATAGAGATGATTATTTTGTTTCTGAAAACTTCTGCATTTAAACATACATACATACTGTGACTAGAAAATTCATTGCACAATTCGACTCTACATTAATAGGCGATCGGTTTACCCTAAAAAAAACTAAAAAAAAAACAATTAGAAACGGAATATACCGTTTTTTTTTAATTTCTAATGTACCTTTCAGTCGATTCTATACGAAGCGTATAAATGGAAAACCTTTGGTAAGTTATTAAACTGTTTATTCGGGCTGTTGGGCCGTTGTCTTCTGTTGAGATTAGTTCTCGACGTTTCGCCAACACTACGGGTTGGCATCTTCTGGAGATGTTGATGCTTCGCTTGTAAGCAGAAACTGACGACGCGTCACACACAATCACGCTAAGCGATCAACCCTACCCCTAGGAACATGTGTATACCAAACTAAGTATGGGATCCACATGTCCGAAGATCAAACCGGTCACACTTCACTAGTTGAAGTGGTACCTATCTGACCCCCAGGCTTTTCCACCACCCCTCCTCATCGTGTGACTTACGTGAGGAGGCTTATGATCTGAAAGTTACTTGAGGTGCCCTGGGTAATGAGACACCTCCTGTTTTTAATTACTGTGGTTATGCCACCTGACTGTAGGGGTAGCCACATCTAGGCTTTTCTCCCTATTTACTTTACTGACTCTATAGATTTTACTCTAACTTCACTTCGGGACTGAAGTCCCTAAAAAAAAAAAGAAAAAGAGCGTGTGTTCCGTCCATGAAGCCGACAGCCTGGGCTGTCGACTTCATGTCCGGAAAAAAGTGTGTGCTCGGTCACTCAGCCGCCGATTTGGCAAAAGTAAATTTTGTTCTCCTCGCCGGCTGGGCGCCCGAAGTGTGTCCGGCCACCGAGCCCATGCTTGCCGCACATGACCTCAGTGCTCGGGTGTCGCGAAAAGGATCAGCATTTATTTGATCCGCCTTAAGGGCCTTATCCGCATTAGCGGTATATAGAAGGCCTGACGGGCCTTCTATATAGAAAAATAGGATGAATTTTACGTTAAAACGTTTAATAAATTAAAATTGATTTTTGAAGTTCTGAATTTAAAAGAAAAACAACCGATTTTTTTTTTTTTTTTTTTTTTTTTTTTTTTTTTTTTTGGGTTTGGGGGTCTTCCTTGGCGTTGGGACTATAAAATGCCGGCACAATTCTTACCCTTTTATTCTTACATGCTAATTTGTGTGGGTGTGCATTGCAGGGTGTATATGGCCTCCACACACCCCGGTGTATATTGTCCTTAACTAAGTGCCTTGGCACCTGTATTCTCTCGCCAGAGTCCTAAAAATAGATATTTTTTTGGTGGTTGTTTTTCTGATGACTGCATTCTTTTATTTGACGTCATTGCGACCATCTCATTCTTCATTTATTCGTTGGGGACCCTATATCCGGCTATTTGCTGTTTAGGTCTTCTGTGTACCGTCCTGGTATTTGCGTTGTAGTTAGTCAGCTCTCTTAACATGCTACTTGGGTGGTTGTTTAGTCCGTTGAATAGTTCGTATGCCTTTTTGTCCATTGTGTGAAGGATCCTTGTTTGTCCTGAGTCTCTGTATAAATTTCTCAGAGGTACATATCTCGGTAAGTTCAGGGCATCTCTTATTAGTTGATTTTGTGCTGTTTGTATTTTTTTCCTGTTTGTTTTACAGGTGTGTCCCCACGCAGCAGAGGCATACGAAAGGACTGGCAGGATAATACTATTCGCAATCCTGATTTTGGTTTTAAACCTTAGCTTACTTCTTCTACCAATAAGCGTTGAGAGCTGATTTTTCAGCGCTTTGGCTCTATACGTTTGCTGATTTATGTGCTGCGTAAATGTGAGTTTTTTGTCTAGTAACACTCCTAGGTATTTGGCCTCGTTTGTCCATTCTACTGGGGTGTTCCCAATCATTAGTTCTCGGTTCGGTACACTTCTTCTGTGACTAAACATTACAGCCTGTGTTTTATCCGGGTTTAAGGCTATTTTCCATTTGATGCACCATCTTTCGAATCTATTAAGTGCTCTCTGCAGATGATTAGCTGCATGATCTGGATTTCTCCAGCTAACAGCTATTGCTGTGTCGTCGGCGTAAAGACTCAACAGGGAACCTGGTTCTTTTGGCGTGTCGGCCGTATAGATGGTATACAGGTAAGGCGACAGAACAGCTCCCTGAGGCACACCTGCTTCCAGGGTCCCGACTTCGGACAGAGTTGCCCCCGTTTGAACCCTGAACCTTCTGTTGGCTAGGTATGATCCAAGGAGGCATGTCATCGCCTCGCTGTATCCCATGGAGTTCATTTTGTAAATGAGTCCGTCATGCCAGACCCTGTCAAATGCTTTACTGACGTCCAGAAATGCTGTTGCCGTATACATTTTTTCGTTATAGCCTTTTGTTGTAAATTCAGTAAAACGTAGAACTTGTAGTTCGCATGAATGTTCGCTTCTGAATCCAAATTGAGCTTCTGGTATGATGCCTAGTGCTTCCGATTCGTCGTTGAGTCTTTTTAATATAACTCTTTCCGCTATCTTGCTTATTGATGATAGTAGGCTGATAGGTCTGTAATTTTGCGGAAAAATGCCATCCTTCCCTGGTTTTTTAATCATGATAATTTGTGCCTCCTTCCATCTATCTGGAAAATATCTTAGTTTGAGCATGTTGTTTACAATGTTCGTTATGTAGACAGTAGCTTTGTTGGGTAGATTTTTTAGTGCCCTGTTTGTGATGTTGTCAGGTCCTGGGGCTTTTTTGGCGTTTGTTAGTTTTATTAGCTCTTTTATTTCTTCGGGAGATGTATGTGTTATTCCTACTCTGCCCTTTCTTCTCTTTAGTCTTCTGGCTGTTCTTTCTACCTCTTCTTCAAAGTCTATGTCTTCATTGGGATTTTCGTTATTTCTACATGCCCTTTCTAGTTCGTCCTTTAGGACTTCAGCTTTGTCTATTTCCGTGTGGACAATCCCGTTTACTCCATGTAAGGGAGGTATGGGTTTCTTGTCCTGTCGGAGGATTTTCGATAATTTCCAGAAGGCGGATTTGTTAGGGTCTAATTCTTGGATATAGTTGTCCCAGCTTTCATTTCTGTGATTTCGTAGTTGTCTTTTAACTTCCCTGTCTAGCTCATTTGCAATCCTTTTATCTTCTAATGTTCTAGTACGATAGGCTCTTCTTCTTTTTCTGTTTTTTTCTTTAATTAAGTCTTGTAGATCCTGACTTATATCTCCGAATCTTCCTTTTTGTCTTGTGATTGTTTCGGTTTTGGAGCTGGCATCGATAGCATTAATTATAGTTTCTTCTAGTTTGGTTACGCTGTCTTCTAGTTCTGTGATGTTGTTTATTGTTGGAATGTTACCGATGTTTTCGCTCACAATTCTTCTAAAGTTTGGCCAACTTGTTATCTTTCTTTTGTGGGGCTGCGAATAGTTTAGTTCTATTGCGCCCAGGGTCAAAACGATTAGATTGTGCGTCGAATCGCCTTCGTTTAGAGAGCGTATCTCGTATTGTTGACCCACGTTGTGTAGGATTGCAATGTCTAGATGTGTAGGGAGTTGTCCGTGAAAACAGGTCGGTTCTGTTGGTCCGATCACGTAGGTGTTTGGTCTATTTTCGAGATGGCCGCAAAGTCGTCTCCCGTTATTGTTGGTCGCTCTATCGAACCAGTTGGGAGATCTCGCATTAAGGTCTCCTATGATTACCGTGGGCTCTTCTGTGTCGAGGATTAGGCTCAAATCTTCATCGAATATCGGTTCGTTAGGTCTGACATAAGCTGACACTATTTTTAGTGTTTCGTTGTTGGCCTTTAGTCTTACTAGCGTGGCTTCCATTGTGACCAGTCCACCTGGTGTTGGGATGTGTTCATGTTCGATGCCTTTTTTAACTAGTATGGCTGTTCCTCCTGATCTTGCTCTATGGTCAGTTCTATAGATATCGTAGCCTGGAAATTTGGTTTTCTTCCTTTCCACTAGTTTCGTTTCTTGAAGGGCTACGATATCGAGCTCTAATCTATTTATCATTTCGTCCAAAAGGTTGAGTTTTTGGAAAATTCCACCGGAATTCCAGGACCCTATGCGTAGATCTTCCGTATGGTTAGCTAACATTGTCGATTTATTTCACCGAATGCAGTCATCATTTTTGTGGCCCTATCCATCACGGACATCATCTCCATCATTTTCTTATTGTATTCCGTCTGGAATGTGGCAATGAGTGCGGCTGCGTCTTGCATCGTTGGGGCCGCTTGTTCTGGGGTTTTCTTGGCTGCTTGTGCGTAGCTGAAACCCGTGGTTGTTGTTGTTGGGTTGAGTGGTCTGCCCGTTGGTTTTACGGGGGCAGGGGTCTTCTTTTTTGGAGCTTTTGAGCATCCTCTGTAATTGGCCGTATGCGCCTGTTCGCAGTTGGCGCATTTTGGAGCCGTTTCTTTGCTTTTTCCGCACTCATTGCTGAGATGGTTTTCACCACACCTTACACATCTGGAGTCGCAGTGGCAAGCCTTTGAACTGTGGTAATAACCCTGGCAGTTTAAAACACTGTAGGGTATCTTTTGTGGTCTTGATTTCGTCTTCGAAACGAATCTTCATGTAGCACAAGTTTGTTATTTTGCGTATTTTTTGTATGTCATCCTCTTTGAGGGTGATCATAAAGAAAGGCAGTATTGGTTTTCCCTCTTTTTTAGAGTACATGTTACTGACTCTAGTTACGTCGACGTCTTTATTTCTTAATTCATTAAGAATAAGTTCGGTGCTTGTGCTCGCCGCTAGCCCTTTTAGGATTACCCTCTTTAATTTGTCGCTGTCTATCGGGTAGGCAACGTACTCTACCTTCGGGGTGTGTTCTTCTAGT